TCTCACACCTACTTCCTCGAAGATAAAAATTGCTAAAAATTGCCACAGAAAGTGGGCTCATTCATTTAAAGAATAAAATTAAAATGAAGATACAACCCGAGCTTATTCATTTATAGAATATACAATCAAAATTAGATCCTCAGACTTACCGCTGAACCATCAGGATGTTGAAATATAAACTAGACTAGAAGGAAGGCAACTAATCATCACCACCCACCGCCAACTCTTGGGCTACTGTGGGATTGACCGTCACATTATAACACCCCACAGCTGAAAGAGCGAGCATGTTTGGTATAAGAGAGATTCGAAACCGCGACTCTCAGAGTGCGAGTCGAGCGTCTTAACCACCTGGCCATGCCGGGCTAACATTTTCGAAAGAGTAGCATATAATATTCTGAGAATTCAAATTTCATGTTTTAGATGTTTATTTACAGAATAAGTAAACAGAAGTAAAAGTTGATTTAGCTGAGATAAAAACAAAATGTTTCATGGAAATTCACGTAAATACTAGACACATTGGGTGCAGAACAAAAAATCACTCTTTTTAAATGACAAATTAATTGGTGTCAGTAGTCTTTTAATCACAGGTTGATGTTTGATTTGTGGTGATATGTCCAAGAATGATTTTAACGAGTCTTCTTCCAAGAACAATCACAAACCTTGAAGCTTTATCGTCGAATCTTCCAGCTTAAATAGTCTTATAAAAACGTATATCTTTCTCGGTCTCTGCGGGTTGTTTCTTATCTTTACTTTCAAAGGTGGTGAATTGGGTTTGTTTAAACGACACTAGTTTTATGACGGAAAACATTTTATGGATTTCATGCGTGTGAAAAAAGTACAAATTTAATCAGTATTAAAAGATTAAGTTCACTAGCGGCTCCAGTTTACTACACTTACGCAGGAGTTATTCAAAATGTTTGCCCATTAACGAAAACGACTAGAACTTTGTTTCTTAACATATATATTTTTTTTAAATTAGCGTCAATATTCAGAACATTCAAGTGATTTCAATCCAAAAAACCTGTGTTATATTTGGCTCATCCTGGTGATGAAAATAAAACATCTCAAAATAACTTTATCGGTTTTAAAATGGCATTTATAATTCGATGGATTTTTTGTGTGTATGGACTAAAAAAAATAAAATTTCAGAGACCGAAACTTCACTTTTTGTGGTCTTTTGATTTTGCAATATTGGAAAATTCGAAGGATGTCACTAGAAAATGTTTGCCTTACATTTCCACATTTCCATTTAAACATAGATGAGAATCAAAGGTGAAGTTATTCATCACAATATTTATTTCAATAAACATTTATGAATGAAACACGTTACCTTTATCATAATATGGTTTGCTTGTTTTTTCATTGCAACATGCGTGTAGATTCATAATTACGAATCAAAATTATTTCTTACTCCGTGGATTTCTTCAAAAGATATGTTTGTGATAATTTTATAGTTTTTAAGAAGCTTTCCCATGTTAAGTTACTTTTGGATTACCTCAACCAACAATGTGAATTTATTAAATTCACAGAAGACGAGCAAGAGAATTCAGAATTTATCGTTTTAGACATCAATATTAGAAACAAAGGTAAATGTTATTCTAAACATTTTGAACAGTAATCTCGATTACGAAAAGGAATATAAGAGGCGTCAACATACCGTCTATACAGAATATGCCTAAAGTTGGAAGTGTAGGCGTCGAGCCATTTTTGTTCGTGTTAGGAGAAGCTAACGTTGAACTCAACGGGGAGCCCATCACAACGCCACCTATTTGTTCAAAGAGGGTGCTGTTAGATATGAAATGCGAATTCCTGGTTGTAAGGTTCAACATGGTCTTAATTTGAGATTCAGAAAAGCCATTTAAAGAAATGTTTAACCTGATAGCTCAGATATATCAATATCAATGGTATCGTTTAGCGGTGTATTTGAAAGAAGTAAATAATATCAAAGCTAATCATCAATTAATTTTCAAACGGGGTATCTGACTTGGTTCACGTCCAAAATGAAAAAAAACAACAACAATTAGGGGTAGTATATTCATAAGTGCTGATTGGCTGTAGTATAGGTACAAGGAATTTGGCAAATTTGTAACTATGTGTGCCTATAATGGAAAGAATGTGTCGGAGGGGAGCTGTACCTCCTTTGTGAGTTTTAGAAAGAACCAATAAAATACCAGGACGAGAGCCTGTCGGATACAACCAAGCAACAACATTATCAGATATAATGTTTTTGTTTTACAAGTTCTGTCGGATATCTTTGAATTTGTTCCTCAGGTTGAATGGTAAGATATAGTGGCCATTTTTTATGATTCTAAGTTTTCTATAGTCGCCTGCATTTTACTCAAATAGTAATTTTTATTAAGAATAATAATTATATTGTCTTTATCGGGGCGTGTAACGTGGGCATTTTTATTTAGCGACAGTTTTTTAGGCTGAGATTTTATCAGAGCTAAGGTTAGGATGTATCTTAACCTATGTATATCCTATCCTATGTATATTAAAATTATAAAATTCAGGAAGCGCAAGTTTATTTTTTGCTTAGTTTTGTAGTGACATAACCAAGTAACCAATGAAAATCTGCCATAGCTAAAGGTCTTAATTTCTCTCTTCCTTTACGTAAACTGAATTTTCCTAATTTTCTTTACTCTTTGGAATTGCTGTACAGAAACCTGAAATATTTTCCTATTTACAATAAAGAAAATCTTGATCAATCCCGTGAATGATTCACTACAACAGAATAGAAAACCTTTCTACATTCTATGATTTTTATACCAAGCGCCATCCTAACCAAAGTCCTGATGAAACCTCAGCCTTTAGGGAACTGTCAATAAATAAAAATATTCATGTTAAACGCCCCGAGAAGGATAATGCTATCGTTATTCTATTAAAAAATGACTACATGACTATAGGTGAAATCCTTGTTTCTAAACAAATGTGTGATTTTAAGCACACGTGAAAAAGACCGGTCACAGAGACTTCCGTTGCTTCTTTATACAATATGGCAGCATACGCTTAACTTCGACAACATCAATAACTACATCTAAACAACATGATCACTTAGATAGATGTCAGGAAAAGATAATGGGGTTTAAAAGCCCATCTTCAAGGTTATCTGGCCAGTATATCATTTGTGGGCGCAAAAGATTTGTCCAGGTGGCCTAAGATATATTATGGTGACATTTACATGAAGCCTTTATACCATACTATATACTAAACATTTATTAATCATTACCGAATATCGAAAGTAGTGTGAATAAGTATTATTGATAATCATAACACATTATTGTGTTGCTTGAACATGCTGGTTTATAGTTATAATTAATTTCCACAAAAAATCTTAGTTCTTGATACGGATATAGTAAAATAATGGATTTGTGAGTACCTTGTGTTTAATATAAAATCATGCCGTGTCTTCTCACACTCAAGTCCAGTGTCTAATATCGTTCATCTAGTATACGTTCACACTAGCCGTGAAAGACAAAGGTCAAAGTAGGAACGTATTTACAAGTTTGTGTTCCTTTACACCATAAAAATTAGTCTATTTCCGCCAGACGTTTTTAATACAAACTACTTACAACCTCGACTTTTCATAACTTAAGTCTTAAGACAGATGTATCAAGATGTACATTCTCCTTATTCTCTATCAAAGTGTTAATCTTACTTTAAAATATGAACATTTAAGGTTATTCACTCCCACGACGACTAACTTCACGTTTTATAACTTCTCTCCGACTGAATTCCTTTTTCACTTGACTGTGCTTTTACTCAGCTCCCGATATTTATATGTTTATCACTGAGGCCTCTAGAATTTTCTATACCCTCGACACCAATGAATTGAAAACACAAGGTACGATTCTTACCGAGTTACGTAACCAAACTTGTCATAACTATCGCCTTCAATATAATTGCTTTTAACTCACTTGTTATGAATAACTCAACAATCAGTAAATATTAACTCACAAAATAAATGAATTAATGCTAAGCAGTCTTGTATATCCAACAGACACACACCAATAGACTAAAAAAAAGCATTATCCATACGTTACCGTGAGAATTGTTTTCAAATCACAACTATAAATTCAGAGGTTAGGAAAGAATTATTGCTCTAAAACTGTCGTCGATGCTCCTCAGTTAGAATCTTTGAAACATGCATTATTAAAGAACTCGCAAAAACAGCAACATAAACTGTCTAACTGGGTACTCAGGCGTGTGAAACGCCAGTAGAGAATCAACACTTTAAGATAATAGAGATAGTTTGAATTAGGAACTCTTCGGATCAGCGAGTCTTTATATATTAAACTACTTCAACCACGCCTGGGTATAAATCTGAAATGGTAGACTTTATATATTTACATGCTCTCAAACGAGTCCCCGGTGGATCAGCAGTAAGTTTACAGCCTTACATTGCTACACTTCGAAATTCTATTCCTTATGGTGAACAGATTGCCCATTGTGTAGTTTTGCACTAATAAAACAACAAGAACAATTCGAACGACGCAACCTTTTGGGAATAACCGCATAGAAACATAATATTTTGCAAAGATACATACGTACATCATCTAGGAAAATTTCACTTAATTTAACGTTTTCAACTTATCTCTTCATTTCTGTTAACTACATTTCAATTATAGTTCTTGATATAAGCATACACCAATTGCTGATGAAACTGTATTCATTTTACACTGCTGGCCCCCTGGTAGTCTTGTATTACTTAGAATTATGACCCTGTAGTAAAACCTATTACTTATAAAGCTTCACGGCGAATTACAGAACGGTATTAAATTAAATTAAAAGATTAACATAATATTCATTAAAAGATGAAAGTTTTAATTACTCTAGTCAGACTTGCTCCAAACCAAACTGAACACTTCATAAAAAAGATGGAAACGTTTATTTCGGATGAAACAGAAACAAAGTATTGTATAACTTTGGACAGTTGGTTAAATTATCATAAAAATTATTTTCGATATGTAAAACAAAAGATTTATTTTTATTTTGCCCAGTGAAGCCGTTGGAGGTCCTTATCATTTCCACCCATCCTCATGTTTCCGCGAATCGAAAATTTGAGATCGAATGCCAGACAACGGGGTCTCGTCCCTCTTCACACATAACTTGGTGGTTGGGGAACCGAAAGATGGAGTCTAGCATGGAGACAATCAGTGAAGGTGGAAATCGAACAGTCAGCAAACTGGTATACTCGCCCTCTAGTGAAGATAACGAGAGTTACCTGTCCTGTAGATCAGAGAACCCTTTGTTACCAGGAGGGGAATTAGAAGATGGAATTACCCTGAATGTATTCTGTAAGAATCAACATTCTGTTTGTTTTTTAATTGTTACAAAATCCTTTTATTAGTAGTTGTTAAAAATAAATATGAAAAATCATTTAGAAGAAAAGATAGTGTCATTCGTACATTAAAAGTCAAACATCTTATCTATCTAGCAAAACACATTTATAAAATATTTTGGAAAAGAAAGTTTCTGCTTAATAAGAGTAATCATTGTTGGGTATAAACATTTTATGTTTTAGATCATTGTTATTTCTTTATTTCATTTGCTTCATCGTTAAATTGTCTTCATAACAGATTCACCCAAAGTCTTGGTGACATTAAGGCGTGGCCAGGTGGCGCAAGAGATTCAGACCGGAGATGACGTTTATCTTTATTGTCAGTGTGATTCAAATCCGGAAGTGATAAGAGTTGAATGGCAATTTGAAAATGACTCTCTAACAACTAATTCCAAAAACGGAATTTTCGTTCGCAATCAATCCTTAGTCCTGAAAAATGTGAGTAGAGATCATAGCGGCACCTATCGGTGTTTTGCTGAAAACAATGAAGGGCGAGGGAACAGCGAGGGTATAGAGCTATACATAAAATGTGAGTTTAAAGATCGTTAGTTATTACTACATTTGATAATTTTACTTGTTATTTTAAACTCTTTGTGTCAGCGCTTTGGTAAACCTGTTCTAAATTGACATAAGAAACGTATATCTAATAGACCTACCTCAGCCCTGGTGGGTAATTTCAGGATAAGCTTATTTCTATTTATCTTTAACGTAAGTTATTTGCAATCACTTCAGGCAAAAGTTTTCAGTTCTAGGCTCAAAAGTTATACTTCTTCATAACTGAATTTCCCAGCGACATTATAAATCACATTATATTTACACTAGAATATCATTGGGTTTTTTTAAACACATACATTTTTCTAAATAATCTATGTATCAAGTTAAATATGGGTCCATGATTTTGTTGCTTACAAGGTCCCTAATAATATATGCGCCGTAAATACAAATGTTAACAATAATACAGTAAGTATCGTACTTATTACTGCTGGGGATGTATCATAAATAGAAGGTAATGTGATTCCATCTTATATTTTTAAAGCAGTCTCTTACAGTACATCTTGTAACAGGCAATAATATAAAGTTACTCGCTATGATGCAATAATGGACTCCATGAGTAGTGCGCGGTAACTTTGTAATTTGATGGTTGATTCTGTATTCATCTGAAGGAAGGGCAAAACAACCACACCATCCTGTGATGCTGATAGATGTTTTAAGAAGTGGAAGCCGAGAGCAGACAGAATTATAACCACACGCAGTTATTTTAACTAGCTAAACTACTGCATTTTCAACGCAGAATTACTTAGTCTTTACTTGTTTGCGGTATGTTAAGATACAATTTTATTGCTTGGTTGCTTAAAGCATCTGCTCGGTAGACAATAACGTTGTTTCGGATTTCACCCCATCCCAGTTTTCACTTGTATAAAAAAATTACAAGTCTTCTCCAGTTGTCGTACAATAAACCATAACTATTGTCGAATGCTGAAAGTTATCTATAAAACTCAGCGGTGTTAATGCTACTAACTTATGAGTTATTAAATTTATAAAGCTCGGAATATTTAAATTGTATTAAATAATTTTCTTAAGTAATCGTCAAGCCAAAAAAAAAAAAAGAAATATATGCTATTCAGTATTTAATCTATAATATTTTCACCTTGACCCATTGATCAAATAGTGACACTTACTATTGTTGTCCATAATAAGCTCGAATCAGTTATAATATTTAATATATATATATATATATATATACGCTTGAACTAATCATTATAAGAAATTTGGATATCTTAAAAAAGAATAAAACAAAACATTGTCATTAATTTTATAGATCTTACATCAATTCAGTAAAACGCAATTTTCTGACTTCTAATAAAACTATCTGTTACTCCAGACGCCCCTGTATGTAAAAAGGGTCAGAAAATTGCTTATGCGGTCACAGTAGATGAACTAGTTGAAGTGTCGTGTCAGGTTGAGTCTGACCCTGATGACGTCATTTTTACCTGGGTGGTCAATAACACTATAGGCAGTCGGGAACTCCTGACTTTCACTACCACTGGTCTGCAGAGTGTGGCCCGTCATATTCCACGAGAAACGAATGATTTTGGGTATTTAGCCTGCAAGGCTCAGAATGTGGTTGGTGAACAAACTGAACCTTGCATCTTCACCTTGATACCAGTTGGTAAGTACATTAATGCCTGGTTTCACATTACTATTGGAACAAAATGTTTCTTAGAATATTTTGGCGGGTGTTAGTTTGTTTAGAGACTGTGAATAAATTGTTTTTGATTAAGTCTGGTGGAAGGGCTGTTATCTAAGAACTAAAAGAAGCATTCTTCTACCAGCATGTCAGCAGAAAATTAACTATGGTCACAAAATAAAATGATGAGTTAACTACATGCTAGGTGAAAAATTGATAGAAATGGTTTTATCCTTTGCATAATTTTCATCAGTTACGTTGTACTTCGCATTCTCTTTCGTCGTTGAAAAACTCTAGAATATAATAAAATTTACGAGGTGATATCCAGTCCATTAGTGGAGGTTTAAAAACATTACTCATTAAGGATGATACCAAATATTATCCTCAGAAGTGACCAGTTGGAAAGGGATGTAATTCAATAACATGATTCAGAATTTGGAAGTTATATTTATGCTAAAAGAACATGGATATTTCACAAAATATAAACGTGTTCTCTTTTACCAGGGAATTAGAAAAAAATATCCAGCTTCTGAACAATAGTTGACCCATTAAGTAACAACAGGCAAAGTAAAAGACAAATAAATACAAGTTTGGGTAGATCGATTAATAAATATATGAAAGAGTGAGTGAAAGAAACAGGTTAAACAGAAGAACATTTCTCCTACCCAAGCACTCGTTCATGTATCCTTTTACCCACTTATTCAAAATATTTCATCAATTTTGTAAAGTTAAGGGTTAATTATGTAAAAATGTTTTTACAGAGTGTATTAAAGATATTTTTATTACTTTTGCAGGTCCTCCAAGCCCTCCATATAACTGTAGCGCTTCGAATTCAACTAACTTGACTTTACTTGTGAGATGTATTTCTGGCGATGACGGGGGGTTACAACAAAACTTTCACCTCGAGGTTTACCTGTTACCTAGAAACCAGATCATAGCTAATCTTTCAAAATCCAATAATCCAGTCTTTCTGCTTTCCACTCTACCTTCAGAAGTTCAGCTCTTCCTCTTAGTATACTCTTCTAATGCTAAAGGCCGTAGTGGTATGATAACACTGACAACACGAACTCTAGCACCCCTAGCGACGAACTCAAGTAAGTAAAAAATACAGTTACACTAATTTACACCAAACTATTTTAAAAGGAATTAGATGTAGCGTTTCGATTACAAATTTGAACAACAATTATTGTTTCACTCAAAAACTTTTTTAAATGTGGTAAAACATTACTTTTTAAAGTATTGCTTACGTTAACTATAAAAGTCATGCACCTGACAGTTTAACGCTTATGCTGCTAATCCAGTAGTTTTATATAAAAAAAAGGATCGAGGATCATAGCTTAACATTTAAAAAAATAAACTTTCGCAAAACAGTAATTGCAGACACACTCACACATAAAACGCAGGATAGCAAATAGAAACCTCTCATTTCAGTTGGATTCGGCATAGCTTGGTGGTTTGTGTGGTGGCCTGGTAATCCAATGGTCCAAGGTTCGAGACTGTTGCCGTAAAATTTCATTCTGCACATCGGGGTTGTGGGTGTGTTATAAGATTGATGGTTAAGTCCAACTATTCAAGTACAGTAGCACAGGAATTTACTGTGGATGCTTCCCTGTGGTCTGTTAATTCAAAGCTAGAGATGTGTAGCGCAGATAGCCGTTATAAAGCTTTTCACAAATATTCCAAACAAATCCAACCAAACTAGTCTTCCCAGTTCCTTTTTTTGTTCTAGCTCTTCAGGCTTAATAACAATCCCAAATATTCGCTGTCGTATCCTTAGCAAACTTGAAATTTACGGACGTTTTGTGGATAAAAACAGTAGTCTCAAATACTTTACACATTTTTTATTGTTATACAAACTCTTTTTTTTTGGCAAATAAGTTACCATTGACAACCAAGTTTATTTTTAGTTGTTTGTAGTTTTGTTTAACTTACACTTCTGAAATTAGTACAGTTGCACAATTTAAACTCGTCCACTGTGCAGATAGCAGTAAAAAAAAACCGTGTTTAACTATTATATAAAATCTGTTCAGCAACACATAGTGTATATAGCAAGTATAAACGTTTAATACAATATCTAGAGAGAGAGAAAAAAGTTCACTGTGTTTGTCTTACTCCGTGTAAAATATCTATGTGAATATCAAGAGTTATATTTATAAATCAACCTTCTTGAATATAACTTAGCTTTAGTATTAACATTACCTGAGCTAATTAACCATAACTGTCTATAATTTTAATGATAATTGTAAATAATTTTCTGTTTTTTTTATTTGAAATACATCTCGAGTTGCGTTTCTTCACTCTGCATACTTGTTTAACAGTCATAGCCTAAGAAAATAGGTCCGACATGGCCAGGTAATGAGAGCGCTCGACTCGTAATCTGAGGGTCGCGGGTCCAAATCACCGTCCCACCAAACATGCTGGCCCTTTCAGCTGTGGGATCGTTATAATGTTACGATCAATCCCACTATTCATTGGTAAAAGAATAGCCCAAGAGTTGGCGGTGGGTGGTGATGAATAGCTGACTTCCCTTTAGTCTTACACTGCTAAATTAGGGACGGCTAGCGCAGATGGCGCTCATGTAGCTTTGCGCGAAATTCAGAACAAACAAAACTTAGTCATCTGCATAAGAATTATGAATGTTTTAACTTTCTTTTTATCAGGTTTTGAAAAAACCAAAAACTCTTGGCCTAGTTGTTATAGTAGATTGTAAGTTATATCAATATTGAATTATCACATTTAAAAAAAAATTATAATATTTTCTGTTTAATCGCACTCGGAAATGTAACGAATATTCGCAATGGTCTGTTTTCCGGTTTTCGTTCTCCTGAAGATTATTACTAAAATCACAGCCATTAAAACGAATGCTCCCACAATTCCGAGGAGGGTTCCAAGAAGTGGTCTTAGTCGAAGAATATTGTGACTACCTGAAGGTAATACATTTTTTAAAAGTTATTGGAAATTTGAAAATTTAACTAGTCGAAACTTGTGTCTAAAGTGAAAGATTTTTTCTTTTTTTTTAAAGGTAAGGAAAATATAATGTGGTTGCTCTTATGAAAACTGGTAAAGCTGTAAGTGGCTCGTCTCGTCAACTAATGGCTTATAAGATGGTACATAAACAAAACAAAGATGAAAATGATTTAGAAAAAGGTTTCAGGCTGTGATTTGCTTTTTTATTATTATGGAAATAACAGGAGTTTATAAATATGTAAACATGAATATGTCAGTTGTTTCCAACATTGGGAGAATAATTATCTTGTGATTTCTGTATACTTGACATGAAACTAAGTACATTATAGTTAACATATTAAGTACGCTGAAATAATAAATTTAAATATCTAAACAAACTAACGATTTTTGACAATACCTATATAATAAAATTCCTTGTCTTGTCTTTTGGTGTTTGTGTTTTCTTAGCGCAAAGCTGCACAATGAGCTATCTGTGCTGTGTCCATTGCGAGGACTTAGTCATTAATTTTATAGTTATAAGCACTCAAATGTAAGAAATTACGCACTTACAACTATTCATTCATTCCTTCCCAATCAAGGACGAGTAAACAATATCGGGAAGGCTGATTAGGGGCTCAGTGGTAAGTTTAACGGCTTATAACGCTAAAAATCGGGTTTCGATCCAAGTGGTGAGCAAGGCACATATAGCCCATTATGTAGCTTTGTGTTTAACAACATACAAATACACCGAGGATTCTATCCTCAGCAAAAATAGTGAATAAATAGTAATCATATTCTGCATTATGTATTAACAATTGTTAAATAATTTGTAATGAAGAAAGACTCGAGACGGGATAGTATAGAACTAGAACTGATCTCCGTGGCGTACGCAGCACAGAAAATCCATTGTGTTGCTTAAAACTAATAATGAAAGAATGTAGAATACACATAAATAAAGACAAAACTGATATTTATAAAGCTATTCTGTAGCAGTTACTATATTATTCATCAATTGATAAATACATTTTAACACAATTTACAATAATTATTTGTTCAAAAACACTTACCAACATTTTATTAAATTACCTGAAAATTTTCTACAAAAAATGTGACGATACTAAACTTGTTTATATGAATTGTAACACAAGCGACGCCCCCCCCCCAGCGGTATGTCTGAGGGTTTATAACGCTGAAACTCTGGTTTCGATACCCGCGATCGGAAGAGCACAGATATAGCCCATCGTGTAGCTTTATATTTAACGGCAAGCCTTTCTAATCGAATAAAAAATGTACATTTTGTGTTTATTTACTACTTAAATAATGAAGACTCTATACTAATTTGTAGTTAGCTTGTCGGGTTGCATATCGAAGGGTCCAGGGTTTGAGACGTAATGATACAATAAAATTCAATGAAATTATCAGTATTAATCATAAAAACTGATACAACCAAAATAAATAAAAATGTAGAACCGAAAACTATTTGAGATGAAAACACTAGAAGGAAGACATAATAGAGAAGAAAAGTGAAGCTTACAACAGAAGAAAAGGCAACAAATCACAGCGCCATCTAGCGATACGGTGAGAAGGAAATCGCCAAGATAGAGTAGTTGCGAACTTTTTATCTGACTGCGGCTTAAACAAACACAAAGAACACCAACATAATAGCCAACAAGTGAAAAATATTTCACTAAAGCAACGCTCAGGACTAAAGGATACATTTTTCAGTTTGAACTCTATTTACATCACATTCTGAAACGTACATGGACCAAAGTGAGAGGTAAAAGTGGGTATGAAAGAAGACAATGAAGACCTTCAAGTTAATTACATTACACAATTACTTTCTCTTCAATGAACGCTACTTTTATTAACGAAATAAAAAAACAGCCTTGAGGTGAAACGAAGTGAATTCCTCTTGAATTCAGATAATCTAATTAAGTGCTGATTTAGGATTTCGTTACCGTTCCTCTGAATTCCAAAGCACTTTCTTACTTCTTTTATATTATGGAGAGTTTTCAAAACACCAATGTTATAGAGTTCTCTAAGAAATACATAATTTCATAGACAGTTGTCTGTGAAATGTATACAGCGTTATAGATAAGGTTAGAAACTCTGTATAACATACAGAATTGCTTAAAACTAAGTAAATTAAGATATGCAGGATTTTATTATATGCAAACCCTAATAATTGTTTATGTGAATTAAAAGTGAACAGAGTTCTAAAATAAAATATCTCTTAAAGATAAAAAAGTTAAAATTGGAGAATGCAACAATGGCGCTAGGCTGTTCTTGTTCGTGGTGACCATACTCAATATTGAAGTGAAATGCCATGAACTGTAAAGATGTAATTCCACTACTAAATTTTCATTTATGAACGTAAGCTGAAAGACCAGTACCGTGAAAGCAAACTTTCTAACAAATATTGTTGTAAGTGAAAAAATGTGAAAGTAAAAAGAGACTCTAGAACTGGGCCTTAAACCTAGAACCTTTGAGCTACTTAAAAGTACATATCGTTCACCCATAAGATTTTTTAACTATGAGTATGAAAATTCATGCTACTTTGTATTGTTGTAGTTAGACAATCAGTGGATTGATTTACCACCAGCCACTCACACATTATTTAATTAATATCACAAATTAATGAAGGCAAACTTTCTAACAAACATTAGTTTAAGTGAAAAAGCCGATAATGAAAAAAATAAATAAAACACACACACTCTCGGACTAGATCTTGAAACCAAGGCCTTTGGTTAAGATGACCAGTGATCTACTACCTCGGCTATGCAAGAGTACGAACCATTTTTCTCTCCTTTCGCCCAAAAGAGTTTTTAACTATGAATACGAACTTCATACTACTTTGTGTTGTTGTGATCAGACAATCAACGTGTTGATTTACCATCAGTCACTCAGATCATAAGAGTCTAACTAGACTACCATGTATATATATATATATTCATTTATTTATCATAATTTAATTTATATTATGAATCAATAGAAGAACATTTTCAACACAAATTTCTTAAATAGTCCCTTTGTGGCCCGTTAGTTTAAGCTCCTGGGTTCAAGACCCACAACCATATTTTTCAGAAACTAAATATGGAATAGTTACTAAATTTTAGTCTATTTAACTAAAAAGATAGACGATGTAATA